TTAGTGCATTGGAATAGGTTATGTAGCCACTGCTAACACAGAAATGCCAACCACCCAATGTTTCGTGCCTTGTGGCTTACAAGTGCAGTACCAGGCAGAGTCATAGGAGGAGAGGCACATGGAGGAGGAACAGCATCTACTTGTTTGCATGTCAGTCTCTCCCTCTAGGGCAGCAACTCTGGCACAAAGCCAGCATTCAACAGATGTTTGATGATGAGCTACATAAAAATATGATTCATGTGGAATGTGTAAAAATAAAAATAGTTGTGCTAGGATAAGGGGGCAATTAAAGATCATTGTTTCATCATCTTTTCAATTTGAAACAATCTAATTTGGAAATCGTATTTCTGGGCTATGGCAAGAAATTGTAAAGACTCTCTTTATATCCATTACCCTCATTTATAATAAGGACAATAGTTAGCAATATTTCAAAGAAGGTACATCAACTTAGTTTTTCAAAACAGGAAGTGGACAGTGCAGTACTTCTGTTCACAGAATGGAGATTTTCTAAACAATGGGTACCTGATACTCAGTATCTTGATCAGAGCTAACTCCTAGTATATTTCCATTTGTCTATCTAGCATGGACCTGTCTTCCAGAACAGACCTAGAACTGGCCTCCTCCTATCACAGCTCAGAAGGCCTCGTTTGCAAATTATCTATCCACAGTATATGGGGTTCCCTTAATTTTCCTACCCCTCCATCCAGACCCACAATACCTTAGACTGCAAGTTCATCATGGACTTCTCAAAAGTTTTGGGTGGTGCCCTCTGATGGTTACAAAGAATTGCAACAGCTCGGTTGGCACGGTTATAAGATAGGATCTTTGCTGGGATGTTCTCATCCGCTGTGAAGAAAGAAACAGGGAGGGTCAAACAGTATGTATACACGAGGAGAATACACAACATGCTTCCCCAGCTCTTCTTCCTCATGACTTTGCCAGGCCCATCTCACTCTGATGATCACGTTCTCCCAAGACACAAGGTCAAAACCTATGAGTCAAGAATCATCTTCTGCTTGTCTCAAAGGCTGCCTCCCCTACCTAGCCACCCAACGTAGCCTGAAGAAAATGTGGAATTGGGACAGAAAAGGTCTGTAGAGGAGGGTAAGACAAAAGGATCACAAGCTTTACATTTTAAAACCACAAGGCAGTTATCTGTTTTATAAAGAAAACTTAAACTCACATGGCATCCTTTATCCCACCCTAAAATACCAGTCCTCAAAATATCCTCTTTGGATTTTCCAGCTCATATTGTAAGGCCACCTGACATACTTACAGAGGACAGGGGGAATTTAGCAGTGACTGGGCTCTAGGAAAAAAAGTTTGTGGATCTTGATTTTACTTCTGCACCTAGTTTTTAGAAGAATATTACCTAGTATCTTAAGGGGGGAAAAATGACAGAAACCGCAGGGGAAGGATGTGCTCTTATTTCTTTGTGTGTGCGTGCTATTTTTAAAAATTAACCTTCACAACCTTATTCTTTCCAATTTAACCAACATCACAGCACTAAGTCTTCACCCTGTGAGTTTTCAAATAACATACATATAAAACATCAAATGTAGGCATTTTCAGAGCAGGTAAAAAGCTCCTGTCAGCATTCCATGAAAATTAATCTTGAAGTTGGGGTAGGAAGGGGGAAACTGCACTGATTTTATGTTTATACACCTAAGCCTAGAGCTATAGAAGAAAAAGTTTCTAGTCATAAAGTTAAGGAGAAAAAGCAGAATGGATCTAGGACTTAGCTGAGCAAGGGCAATGTACACACCAGGAAGGATACAGGCCCATCTGACCAAGCAGTACTTACGGGCTGTGAGTTCTTTTAGCTGTTGCTGTAGCGTGATGGAGGCATTGTATGTACGGAATACTTTGGCTGTCAAGCCCTCCATGAGATCCTGAAGATGCTTATTTAGAATACCAGTCTGGAGGAGACAAAGCACAGAGAGGATATTGGGATTTAGGCAAAAGCCATACCACTCTGCCCTTTCTGGCAAGCTCTAGGACATTTATGCCAGTGTAATCTCAATTTTGCCAAGTTTATGGTCCTGCCAGTGGGAAGTTAAAAAAAAAAAAAAAAAAAAAAAAAAAAAACCAAGTGAAAAGAATTCCAAAACAGGTTTGCATGATACCTCCCTATGAAGTACTTTAATCTTAAGCAGGCCAATAAAGCAAAGTTGTCCTTCCCTATTAAGATCTTCCCTGATAAGATATCAGGGAAAGGCCTTCAGTCTCCAGCAGAGGTGGCTGGGCATCCAGCCAAGAGAAGACTCTGCAAGAGCCAGAAGAGAATAAAAGGCAGGGTTTGTCCACCTGTCTCAGGGCTTTGGGCATGGATTTACTGCGTGCCTACAGGAGGAAGAGTGTTTAGTCCAAGTCACCCCCAGGCAAACCTCTCCTTTAGGAGCTTGTGAGGAGGCTCTGGCTGGGCCCCTCCTTCAACCCAGTGCACTCTGTCCACTCACATTGAGTCTATCAAAAAGATCATCCTCAGGCTGTTTGTTCTCCATAAATAGCTGTAAGTTCTTAAAAACCTAAAAGAAATAAGTAGAACCTATTATTTAAAAAGCCTTTACTTTGGAAATAATTGCAAGCTTACAAAAACTTGGAAAATAAAAAAGCCCAAGACATACTCACATCCTTTACCAGATTCACCAACCATTAACATTTTATACATTATTCACCATTTGCACAGTACATGTCTGCCTCATTTCTCTCTACATACATGTGTGTATACACCTATTTGTGTCCTGAACCATTTATGTGTACTTGTATTAAATAATAGCCCTTTACCCCAAATATCTGTGTATTTCCTAAGAATTTCTAAGGATAGAGATACTCCCTTACATATGCACAGTATCAGCTTCATAAATTTACATGTATATATACTTCAATCTGCTGTTCATATTCCAATTTGGTCAGCTGACTTAATGATGTCCCGTACCTCCCCGGGATGGAACCCAATCTAAGGTTATTACATTATCATGTATCTTTAGCCTTATTTAGTATGGACCACTGCCAGAGCCAGCAAAGCCTTAATGACTGATTAAACATCAGACCGTTAAAGGGCTCGATTATGGAGGCCCGGCACCCTGTAGGTCTCTGGTTCAAGCCCAACACGTGGGGGAAAACGTGGAGTTGCAGTGCCCTCTTTGGCACGGGCTCAGAGATTTGGGGACTAAAGGGCTACTGTTCTGCTCAGTCAAGAGTTGAGGAGAAGTTGAAGAAAAGCTACAAACGTGACAGATGTGCAACATGACCAGGGGATACTGAAATGTGGCTGAATCATTACAGTAATGTGAGTTAAGTCTTATACTGAAATTTGCCATGAGGGCCAACTCTCTACAGCATGCTCTGTTGAGTATTACTATAGGACACATCCCCCCATCCCCAGGAAGGTGTAGCATTGGGGGGGGGGGAGGTAAGGGACAGGGACTAAAAGGAGGTACCACAAGACACCCAACAACACCTCTCCCCTCTCTTTCAAACCATTTTCCTAATGTCCAGCGGAGTGAAGAGCATACAAAAAGCGCTCAATAAATGCTTGCTGAATGAATGAAAGGAAAAAAAAAGGCCAGGGAGCAACAGGCCACAGTAACTTACTCGTTTCTCAACAGGGACTTTGTTATAATATCTGATTGAGTCCTTCCCAAGAAAGTCAAACTCTACCACGTATTCCTGACCATCCAACTCTGGGTGCAGATTGATATGCTCCACACGAAGGGAGCAGCACCCCACGGTGTCCGCTGTTTCTCCTTCCTCCTTCTCATTGCCTGCTCTCAGAGCAAGCTGTCCAGGAAGAGAGGGAAAAATGAGAACAAATGAAAAAACTTGAATCTCACAGGATCTCTAAGGAAACCCACATCAGAAGTCTCCCAACTCTCTCTGGAGACAGGGCATCAGTCTGCAAAGACTTGGGAATTCTGGATTCTACACTGTTGCTTCTAAATGAAGTATGGGGAATCATAGGGATTTTTTTTTTTTAATTAGCAAATGAAGGAGTATTCTTCCTATTCTGAGTAATCAAACTCAACAGTCTCTTAATTTTGCTCAGTTTTTGAGACAATTCAGAATTTGTGCTAGGCAGAGTAAAACTGGGGGGAAAAAACCAGAATCTTCAAAAAGGCATTGACAAACTGATCTCTAGAGCATGGTCCTTCAAACTGTAGTTGTGATACATTAATGGATTGTTTAACCAATTTTAAGGGTTATAACCATCCTTTATAAAAAAAAAAAACAAGAAACCAAAATTAAAACGTCAGAATTCACCGCTCATAGAAAGTCTAAACATTGTTTTGTGCAGCTTTTGTTTCAGCTACACACAAATATATTTATGTGTGTTGGGTCGTGATGTAAAATAAAATTTTTTTGGTGGCTTATAGTCAAAAAGAGTTTGAAAATGTCACTGTATTTCCTGCAGATTCAGATTCAGAGCGCAGTATGCTCCAAACGCCTCTCTCTCTCCACTTCTACCTTCCTTACTGGACCAGAGATCGGTCCTCCTCCAGCTCTAACACAAGGCCCGGAGGAGTAAACAAGGTGGGGACACCTTGAATAAGCTGAACATACGAGGTAACGTGACAGGGAGATGCTCACCTTGTCTATGAAGTACAGAGCTACAGCCCTCTGCCGGACTTTCATCTCTTTGGACTTCCAGTCTTCTCGATACTGGTTCCGGATCTTATCCACGCACTTTTTCAGTCGCCGAGCAGTCTCATATTTCTGCCAGTCTTTCTCACCCTGCAAAGACCCAGCCCCAAATGTGGATTGCTTAGGGATGGTAGAGGAAAAATAGACTTTGAATATCCAAGTTCAGAGCTCTGAACCAAAGAGAAGGAACCTGAGCTTAAGCAAGGCAGAAAAAGAAGAGTACTGAAGAGAAGTTTTAGAGCATCTAACCTGATGAGAACTCATGCTGTCCCATTTCATTGTCAAGCCCAACTGGCTCCTGTCTAATTGCTAAGAAAGCCTCTGTAAAAAAAAGCCCACATGACATGTACCAAAAACTGACTTCTGTCAATACAAAGCGTTTAAATATCCCCAATTCCCACATCAGCATCACCACTCTGCTGCAGAATCTGTGACCCAACAGCAGTTTTCTGCTAGGACTGAATTTCATTAAATCCAAGACAACCATTCAGTCTGATAGACTATCAAGGAAAGCAGAACCAAAGATGACAACACGTAATTACTAAGGAACACAGAGACTTCCAGGAACAGTGGTAATTATTCACCATTTTCTAACTTCTGCATTTAAAATTTTCTTGATTAGACTGAGGGAAACAATGTTACTGGGAAGACTTTTTTTTTAATCATTAGAGTTTTTGGTACAAGGTTTAAAAATTGATTCTAATGCCGATGAAATGTTTTTAAAAGGGTGTGAAAAGACTGAATCTAATCAACAGTGACAGGAGACTATTTCTGCTACCATGTTGAATGGAAACAGACTCACAAGCAAGGACTGATACTGTCAAGTGTGAAAGGTAAGAAACGAAAAAACAAAAAAACCCCATGAAATCCCAAGGGGGGCAGGGAGTATTCTAAGGCCTAAAACAGATTATATGACATGAATAAAGGGATGGAACTTAAGAACCCAAGAATCTCAGCTCTTAATTCCCCCAACCACAAGAGAAAGGGGTAGTGATTAATAATGACATATGCCTACTTCCCACCTGACATGGGACGTGTGGTCCTTGAAGCATAAGAACTGTGGTCAAGGTAACTAGCCTTAGCCTTCTGAGTATGCAGGAAAGTGGGCTATGTGAAAGCAAGAAATATCTTCTACATCTAGCTCTAACAATGCTCAGAAATGCACGCTTACCCGGGTATGCTAAGGATTCATCAGCACTCTCCCACAACTGTGTGTGGCCAAGTTGTATGTACTTGGTTGGCTACAAAACAAGAGGTTCAGTAACTACTTGTTGTGGGTGGGTGATTTAGCATTTGGTGATACAATATCTAAGAAGAAATATCTAAGTTCTATTTCCTGACAATGGGAAGCTGAAAATTTCTCACTGATTTTTCTAAGTACATATTGACATTTAAGAGGGTGAAGAAAAAGGTGTGATACCAGCTGTCCCCATACAAGTCAACAATAAATTTCCATGACAATCATGTCTCTGACACACACACACACACACACACACACACACACACGACTGATCTTCAATAGTACAGTTTCCAGCTTAGGAGCGGGCTGTTGGCCATCACTTTAAAGCACACAGGCCTACCAAAGCCTGACTCCAAGTCTTCAAAGTCCCGTAGATTTACATTTGGGCAATTCCTTACTCATGCCACTGAAAGTTTAGAAAAACCCAACAAATAAATCATTCACAGAGGATACCACAAGACCAACTTTTCTTCACAGGTTGGCTGGGCTCTTGACACAAGGATCCAGGATTCTCTCAAATAAGGACATAGAGATGGGGGGCAGGGGCAGAAGCCACCTTGTCTAGGTCTAGGGGCCTCCAGGAAGTATGCTTATCCCTGCTGCCTTCAGTTTCTCTAAACCGAATCCAGACAGTTAAGTGCACCTGAACAAGCTTTCTCAGACTACTAGAAGGTAAAATACCCATTTCGGTCTTCCAGACAAGGTCCTCATCAAAACTATCTCAGTAAAACAAGGTGACTACTATAGGGGGACTGCCTTTAAGCCTTTCCCATCTTCCCCTACCCATTCAAACCTCTGTTTGGATAAGAATCTAATTTGATTTAGTTATACAGGACATTCTTTGGGTGATTTTTTTTTCTTTTAACTAGTGGGCTTACCATATTTTGTTTCTAATATAATTACTTACTCATTAAGCACAGTGGGTAAATGGGGTCAGAATCTGGACTCAGGATACAAAGTGGGAGATGAGCTAAATCCCATTCTCTAATCCTCTCTGAGATTTGTCTTGGGGAATGATGACATTTGCCAATATTCTTAAGTGGCTCTTATTTTTTTAAGAATTTTTTTTTTTTAAAGATTTTATTTGACAGAGAGACACAGCGAGAGAGGGAACACAAGCAGGGGGAGTGGGAGAGAGAGAAGCAGGCCTCCCGCCAAGCAGGGAACCCGACGCGGGGCTCGATCCCAGGACCCCGGGATCATGATCTGAGCTGAAAGCAGACGCCACCCAGGTGCCCCCCCCTTTTTTAAAGTAATCTCTACACCCAGTGCTGGGCTCGAACTTATAACTCTGAGATCAAGAATCACATGCTCCACTGACTGAGTCAATCAGGTGCCTCTTAAGTGGTTCTTTTCACACAGATGGTGATCCCAATGTGAGTTTGCCATTGTGTAGAACATGAAAGAACGGGCGGCTGGCACTGTGAACTCCAAACATCTACCACTTAAACAAAAGATACAACAAACTGGCCCTATATATTAATACCATGTTTAAAGAGAAAATCCAACTAGCTTTTCATACGTGCCCACTTTTAAAAAGTTTGTCTTTCTATTGCTGATATATAGAGGTCTTTATATATTTAAACTCTTTTCCAGATATAAGTAGTGCATTTTATTCTACTATTTGCTATTCATCTTCCATTCTCAATACATCTTTTGTCATACAGATTTAAAGTGTAAAGTGTCATACAGATATAAAGTGACAATTTATAACCCATGTAACCCACACCCCATCAAGACAGAGAATATTCTCTATCATTCGAGAAAGTTCCCTCATGCCCCTTCCCGGTCAATCACCAACTAAGCCACCACCATTCCTTTAATCTGATTTCTATCATCACAGATTGATTTTGCCTAATTTAGATTATATAAATGGAATCATACAGCATAGACTCATGTGTCTGGGCTTCTCAACATGTTTTTAAGATTCATGTTGGGGTGCCTGGGTGGCTCAATTGGTTGAGCATCCAACTCTTGATTCAGGCTCAGGTCATGATCTCAGGGTTGTGAGATCGAGCCCTGTGTCAGGCTCCACACTCAGCGCAGAGTCTGCTTGAGATTCTTGCTCTCCCCCTCTGCCCCTCCCCCAACACTCTAAGAAAATCTTAAAAAAAAAAAAAAGATACATCCATGTTACTGCATTTATCAGTAGTTCACGCCTTTCAACTGCTGGTATATATGGTGTAATCTATAACTATCCCTAATGTCTCTGACGAGACCTGTGTTCTGTTGATGTACCCCTACAATGTTTCCAGTTTGAGACTTGCACAAATATAGTGCTGCTATAAGCATTCTTGTACATGTTTTTTGTGGACATAAGTTTTCAATTTGATTTGGGGCAAAAATACCTAGAACTGGAATTAGTATCTCATTGTGGTTTAAATCTGCATTCCACTGATAATTAGTGATGTTGAGAACTCTTTCACGTGCTTATTGGCCATTCCTCTATCTTGTAAACATCTGTTCAAGTCTTTCACTTTTTTATGGGGGATGTTTGTCTTTTATTATTGAGTTATAGAATCCTTTGTATAATCTGGATACAAGTTTTCTGTCAGATAAACATGCTGCCAGTATTCTCTCCCAGCCTGTATTTAACAGTGTCCTCTCTGTTGAACCTAAGTTTTTAATTTTAATGAAGTCCACTTTGTCAATTGTTTTTTTAATCATTAGTGTTTATTTTGTGTCCTGGGAAATCTACACTAAGGTCATGAAAATGTTCTACCATGATATCTAGAAGTTCTAGTGTTTTATTTCTTATACTTCAGAATTTTGCAAAAGTCAGGCTCAGAATTTTTTAAAAATAAGCGTATGTCTTATTTTCTCTAATAAAGCACCAAAATCAAGAGCTTCCTAAGCATATAAAGTTTTATAAGGGTATTTTCCTTCAACCTAGCCCTTCAACACAAAGATGGTTACATTTAAAAGGTCTGAAACCTCACAGAATTATAAGATCTAAAGAGAGAAAAGGCAGAAATGGGTATTTCACCCTAAGAATATTTTAATAGGATTGAATACAATGTAATAGCAACAACTGATTCTGAAGTTTACTGTACTTCATTTAAAGAAAAAATGAGGGCGCCTGGGTGGCTCAGTTGGTTAAGCAACTGCCTTCGGCTCAGGTCATGATGCTGGAGTCCCGGGATCGAGTCCCACATCGGGCTCCCTGCTCGGCAGGGAGTCTGCTTCTCCCTCTGACCCAACCCCCTCTCATGCTCTCTCTCTCATTCTCTCAAATAAAAAAAAGAAAGAAAGAAAAAATGACAAATTTTGTTTGTAAAGTTAAGACTGGTTGAAGAGCCTCACTTTTACTAAGGGTTACTTTACAGACTATGAGACTAGATAATGTTTCCAACCTTGGCAGTGGGTTGGACTTAGCAGTGAGTACCTTTAACAAGCAGTCCTTTTGTAACCTCTGGATCTATGGTTTATCTGGAATCAGAGAGCTTCACTGGAACTACTGGTTCCAGAAGGCTGACTGCCATTTTCCTGCTATTTCAGATTCTGTGGGCACAAGTCCAGAGTGAAAGAGGAAGGGAATGGAAACACCTGCAAGATGTCTGAATAAAGCAGAACAAACCAGGATGAGCGCAGAAAAATGTGAATGAGCTCAGGACAGTCTTTACCTGGAGCACACGTTCCTGTGGCTCTCAAAAGTCCTCATCCTTTCAATGACCTGTGAGGCTATTTGTACTATATGCCCGGCTCTGAATGCAAGTAGACCAATCCAAGTTTCAGAAAGTGGGACATTAAAGGGACACACTTCAGCTGTACTCTTAACTACCCAATTTTTTTTTAAGTTGTCAAAAATCTCTAAGTCATATCATACTTGAGATAAATTTCTTACTGGAGCAGAGATGGGGTACAATGGTACAATAATATTACAGGGGGGAAGTGAATAAGTAAAATATAGACAGAAAAGCAAGCAAAGAATCTTAGAATAGGAGAAGTCTCTGGAGGCTGAGCAGAAAGGTATATAGAAAGAAGCCCCATGATGGTAGTCTCCCATGTTTTGGATCTAAAGTCCGCCAGGAAGTAAAACTACCAATTACCACCCTTCACTCTCTACTACAAAAACTTACTCTTTTTTTTTTTTTTTTTAAGATTCTATTTATTTATTTGAGAGAGAGAGAGAGAGAGAGAGACACAGCGAGAGAGGGAACACAAGCAGGGGAAATGGGAGAGGGAGAAGCAGGCTCCTGCTGAGCAGGGAGCCCGATGCGGGGCTCAATCCCAGGACCCTGGGACCATGATCTGAGTCGAAGGCAGACGCTTAACAACTGAGCCACCCAGGCACCCCTATAAAACCTTATCTTTATAGACTTTTGGGTCAGATCAATAAGTGAAATCATGCTTTAATCCTTACACTGTTTCAAACATAGCAATGGAAGTGCTCCAAACAAGATGGGGAGAGCTAAAGCCAGTGCACCTGTGTTAGCATGGGCTTAACTGGGCCAGAAGACTCCTCGGAGGAAAGAACAGAGAAGTGCAAAGAGCAGAAGAGAACGCTACATGCACAAAAACTACCTCCCCATCAAAAGTTTACAGGTTAAAATACATTAGTGGTCTCACTCATAGTCTAAGTATCTATACAAATACATCCACATTGAGATACAGAATAATAAAGATAAACTCTTTCCTGGAGAAAAGATACATTATAAGGATGAAAATGAAATTTTCAGTGAAGAATTTGCCACCTATAGATCCTCACTAAACAAACTGAATGGGTGTGTTTCAACAAGAAAAGTAAACCTAGAGGGAAGGTATTGAGTACAGAAATTATCTCATTCTGACGACTGCTAACTGGAGAGAGGATTAGGGTTTTATGGGATGATTGTGGGTTCTTTTAAAAGGAAAACTTTAAGCAAAAGATGTATGAGGTAGGGACGCCTGGGTGGCGCAGTTGGTTGGGCATCCAATGCTTGATGATTTCAGCTCAGGTCATGATCTTGGGGTCCTGAGACTGAGCCCTGTGTCAGGCTCTTGGTTTAGCGAGAGGAGTCTCCTTGAGATTTTTCTCTCTCCCTCTGCCCCTCCCCCCACCTATCTCCCTCCCTCCCTCTCTTAAAAAAAAGAAGTATGAGGTGTAAGAGTGGAAATGATTTATAGGTAATTTACTTGTCTACACAGAAAATCCAAAAGAACACAGACACTTCTAGAGTAAGAGTTCAGCAATGTTATCAGATACAAAATCAGTATTAAAAAAATCAACAGCATTAACAACTCTAGTAATAACAGAAATGTAGTGGGGAAAAAAATCACATTCAATATAAGCCTAAAAACTATAAGGGTTCTAAGAAAAAAAGGTTTTAAGAATGTGTAAACTATGGAGAAAATTATAAAGCAATACTAGAAGGTGTACTCAAAGACATAAATTAATGGAGAAGTAGAACACATTCACAGATTGGAAGACTCAATAATGTCAATTTTTCCCCTATTAATCCATAAATTCAATACAATAAAAATCTCAATAGTTTTCATTAGACCATGACAAATTTATCTCAAAATGAATGCAAAATAGCACAGCCAAGAATAGCCAAGACAGTTCTGAAGAATGAGGTGAAGGAAACCTGTCCTAGTCAGTAGAGCTCAACAGTTAGGACAGTATGCTAATTAATTAAGAAATAGACAAACAGGACAGAGAGCCCATAAACAGACTGACATATATGTAGAGATCTGATATATAAATAGAGAGGTAATATAACTAAATAGTTCTGGGACAACTGGTTATTCACTTGAAAAAATATATTAGAGCTCAACCTCCTACTATACACAAAAATACATTCTAATAGATCAAAGATCCAAATGCAAAAAGCAAAACTTTAGAAATGTTGGCAAGGATATGGAAGACAGAAACATGTGCACACGGTTGGGGGAATGGTGGTGATGTAAACTGGTTAGGCACTTTAGAAAAAAATTTAAAAATACCTAATGAAGAATCCTTAAGGCAAATTTTTATCCATATATACAAGGAAGATGTATTGATCCAGCACTGTTTATAACAAAATATTATAAACAACCTTAAATGTCTCTTGACAAGAGAATAATTTTTTTTATAAAACAAAACACCATCTAGCAAATAAAATGGATAAATTACAAGTATATGTCAAGATAAAAATATCAAAACCAAAGCCGAGTGAAATAACTAAGTTGCAGAACGATCTCAATAGCGTACCTAAAATTATACCTTGTAAAAACAATGCTACATATTGTTTATTCACAGAGAAACATATTGTAAAAATACAAAAATATATAAGAGAATGAAAACATTAAGTTCATTATAGTAACCTCTAGGGAAGGAGGTGAATAGTACACAGGGGGCTTCAGCTATGTTTATCAGAATATTCTTACAAGATGAAATAATTAAACAAATAGGACATGATGTTAAAGTTTGACACAGCCAGATGGTGGGCATGAGCTTTCACCGTACTGTTATCTATTCTTGTATATCTGAAATATTTCATAAAAAGTAAAACCCCTAATGCTTGTAACTCCCTATTTTTATCAGGAGAATGCTTCTCCTGCTGGCAGTGCATTTAAAGACTATTGAAAGCACTGTCAAATCCGGACCTCTGAAGTTCTTACTGCTCTGCTGAGAGAAACAGCCAACAAGTACAGGCAAAAGCTAAAGAAATCACATTTCTTTTTCTCTTAACAGGAAGTACGACTTCCCAAGCCTTTAACCATCTTCATGACTCTTAGGATCCCAACCCAGCTGAGTAGATTCTCTGTCCTGGGTATAAAATTCTAGGCAGGGCCTATATGTGGGTGACTTCTACGTTCACTACCATAACCATCATTCAGAAACCTACACAAATCCCTACAGTATATGGGGGTTATCTGGATATTGTCAGGAATAAATTGGTGGCTCTCAGCCCTGGAGGTCCTCCACCTGCCCTATCAACAACAAAGATGTCAACCCTTGGAGGCTCTCCTATAATCAGCTAGAATCCCAGGTGTAAGAGAATGCAGTATGCATGTATTTGGAATCCGTTCACCTCTCTTCACCCATACTGGCATCATCTTGTCCAAGCCATCACCATTCACTGCCTGAAGGATTACAACAGCATCCTATTGGTAACCCTACTTCTGGTGTGTGTCCGATCCAATCTCCACAGAATTTAGCACTCAGAATGATCAGTTATGTCAAGTTTCTAAAACCAAAACCTGGTACTGTTTCCCTTAGAACCCAGTACCTTCCTATTGGATTTAGGATAATATAAACAATTTTAGGAAGAGTCTGAAGATCTGGGCTGCATCCCCCTCTAAACTCTTCCTCATGCCCCTTTCTTGCTCACTGTACCTCAACTAGGCTGCCCTTCATTCAGTCAAGACCACCAAACTCTCACCTCAGGGATTTCAAAAGGCTATCTTCTTTGGAACACCCATTGCCCTCTCCCTTTCCATGGATAAATCCTATTCATCTTGTCTTATCTTAAATGTTATTTCCTCAGAAAGGCCTTCCTTGAACCCGAGGCCAAATCAGATGCCCTGGTATACTCTCAAATGGTACCCTGCACTTTTCCCTTTGCATCCATCATTTACAAGACTTTATGTTTACTGGTATGACTGCATATAAAGCCTGTGAATCTTGCTGAAGTGGGGTTATGTTCAAGACACTCCTCTCTTCAAAGCCCTTCAATGGTTCTCCACCAGATGCAGAATATGGGCCAGTCTTTTTATTTTAGCAAGACGCTTAAGGCTGGCCACAATTTAGCAGTAGGGTGTAACATGAAAGCATCAGGAGGCTAAAGATCTAAGTCAGAGTTACTAACTATTGGATTGTGGGCAAGTTTTCTGGCTTCCCAGAAACCAAGTTTATCTATAAAACAGTGGTATTAGTACATCTGGTATGGTTGCTAAAATAATTGAATGTTAACATACATGAAAACACTTAGAAGTAACCTAATATCCATTATTTTGGTTTTTTTGTGTGTAAAATACATGTAAAATTTACCATTAGTGACATTTATAGCACATTCACAATGTTGTGCAAACATCACCATTTACTAATTCTTTTTGTCACTCCTTTTTACACTTCTCCCTCTCAGCCCATGACACAAAGCTGTTTGGAATACCTAAGACCTAAATGTAATCGAATTTCCTTCATAAATTTATTCCTGATCTGTAAGTGCTGGGAATAACTGCTGTATTTATCTAAAAACACTTAATGCTTACCTTTCTCCTAATACAGTTGAATTGTTACCCAATTTGCCCATTAGCCTAGGAGTTCTTTGAGAACTAAAACCATTATTCATCCACCTTTGTTTATTTCTGAAGAAGAGAATGTTTCTTTAGATGACTTCTGTTCATAAGGGTTTTCTCTGATTCTATACTTACTCTAAACTAGAAAAAGTGATTTTTTTTTTAAGATTTTATTTATTTTTCGACAGAGACACAGCAAGAGAGGGAACACAAGCAGGGGGAGTGGGAGAGGGAGAAGCAGGCTTCCCGCTGAGCAGAGAGCCCGATGCAGGGCTCAATCCTGGACCCTGGGACCATGACCTGAGCCGAAGGCAGACGCTTAATGACTGAGCCACCCAGGCGCCCCGAAAAAGTGACATTTCTAACTGAATGGCAGAAAACAGAGATGGTCTTTTCCATATTAGAACAAAAAACTC